CCATAGAGGCCTTGGGGTGGGTGAGTGGGTGAGTGGGAATGTCACCGTGTTAGAGCATTAAAAACAATTCGACGTACACCTCACGAGGATGACATACCTGAAGGTTCTACATGCTTAATGCAAACAAACATACCTACACACGCATTTGTAGTCCAGTCCAGACAAGGATCTCTCCCATTCCCAAAGTCATCTTCCAGGAAGGAGTATCTGCTCTCTCGCGATGTCTAACCGGAAAGGGCCCATCTTTATTTTCTGTTAAAATGTCTTAAAAAGAAAAGAGTAGTCATGAGAGCTTCCAGCTAATGGAAATGAGAAGAGATTCAGCCTATCTGAGAGAGGTGTGCCCAGGCGCCCGTGGGCACTTCCGGGCTGCAGAGGGCTGGCCGCGCTCCCCGGCTGCCGGGCCCCGCCCGTGCAGAGGCAGCTCTCGGACGACGGTCCAGGGTCCCTTCTCCTTCCATCCAGTCCGCACCAGAACCACCCCCAGTGCCTGCTCCTCGAGCCGCCTAGCGCCGGTCACCTCCTAGTCTGTTTTCATGTTGGACTTGTTCATCTCCCCCAGGTTGAAATTGAACTCTTTGAACACCTGGATAAGGACAATCCCCACAGAGACGGTGGTGAATCCACAGGCCATGCCCAAGAAGTCCACCAGGCCCACGTTGCTCCACTCCCGGAAGAGGATGGCCGAGGCGAGCAGGACGAGCGTGGTGAACACGACGTAGTAGATGGCCCCAAACACGGAGGAGTCGAAGCACTCGAGCGCCTTGTTGATGTAGCGGAACTGCACGATGATGCTGCAGCCCAGCACCGCCAGGAGCAGCAGGCACAGGCACAGCGCCCGCTGGCTGGACGGGTTGTTGTGCAGGATGTCCTGGGCCGCCAGCCCGATGCCCTTGGTGGAAGGCACGGTGAAGCTCCCCAGCAGGGAGCAGATGCTGATGTAGACCATGATGTTGGTGGGCCCGTGCGCCGGCGCGATCCAGAAGATGAGCAGCAGCAGCATCAGCAGCACGATGCACAGGTAGCCCACGAACACTGTGGAGCGCAGCGGAGCGCGGTCACGGTCCCCGAGCCACACGCAGCCACGCGGGCCGGGGCGGGCACACCCACCGATTCCACCCCACACCAGTCATCCCATCGTCGTTCCCTTTTTTCCTAAAAGGGAACTTTTCACTATAGGGCACATGGGTTCACTGGAGACAGAGGAGAGGGAGATCACCCCCCCGGGGGAGGGCCACGCCATGATCTCTTCTCTTCCACTCTCCTCTCAGGATTTTGGGCACGCACGCACATGCGGCAGGCATAACTTTGTAGCCACCAGGTCCAGGTCTCAAACCCCGGTTGGCCATGTAGGAGTCTAGCACCTTACCCACCACCGACGTGCTGGCCCCCAGCACCATTTTTGTAATAATAAAATGTTAATGTAGACACTGAGGTTAAAAAATAATGCAGAAGATGGATTTTTTTTTTTTTTAGTTCTCCCGCAACAGCCCTCCTGAACGCTCACTGCAGGCCAAAGTGGGACCTGGGGGGACCCGGGCTGCGGGGGGACCTGTGCCTTCACTGCACAGTGCTGACGTGCAGGGCGGAGTGAGGCTCCCCGCCGCCCTCAGTTTCTGAGTGTCTCTTTGGACTTGGAAGTGAAAGATATATTCTTAGTAGCCAGAGCCTAGACCCTCTTAGAAAACAGTGATGCCTGCACAGATTTCATACACAGTGCAGCTTTGGAGACGCATGGAGGGGGGGCCGTTCTGCTTTTCACCCACATCCCTCGGGTTACTCTAACCACACAGGGTCACAGTGCTGATGGAAGACCCCGCGAGCGAGTCTAACACGACCCCCCGCGCCAGTCGGTGTGCTCACACCCCAGACTCTCAGCACCCGCCACGCAGCAGAGGGGACTGCCGGCCTCCGCACTGGCCCCGCGGTGGTCCTGAGCATCGCTAGTCGGAGCACCACTGCCGGCTCCATCCCTGAGGGCGCTGTCCGGTTGCTCTGAAGTGACCTGTGTAAGGGGTGCTGGAGCTGACAGGGCCGGGACCTGCCTGGGAATGTAGAGGACAACTGTGGACACGTGAGCCGGCAAGCAGGCAGGAAAAGGAGCCCTGGCGCCTGTCTGGGAGGGCCTGGGAGCTCTCCGCTGGGAAGGAGCGCTGGAGAGCAGCTGACGGCACTTGGGCACCTGGCCTGTGGTGGGGCAAGGGGCAGGGAGGGCAGAGGGATGCGCAGGCGCTGCGCAGGGTGCTGGGAACCGGGCGGCCCGGAGCAGCGAGATGCCGGTGTGCCGGCTCAGGACAGGCGCGGGCCTGGCGTGGCGCCGCTAGGGCTTTCTCAGACCCCGTGGGAAGAGGGTTATAAAGGGCTTGAAGCTGGGAAGGCACCAAAGCAAATAACTGACCACATTTCAGAAGGTCCCCAGCGTCCAGATGGGTGGGGCAGTGGATACACCAGGGCTCGCTGGCCAGCGGGGCACCGCACCTCAGCAGCCATGTGAGGATTGGAAAGGAAAGCCATTCAAGGAAACCTTTGCTTCCACGTGATTAGCCTTGACTCTGCATTCCTTTTTTTTTAAGTTTTTTTTTTTAAGAGATTTTTGCTGGGACCAGCAGTTGGCCTAATGGCTATGTCATTCGACTCCCATGTAGTCGACCATGGTTCGAGTCCCGGACCCGGTGGCTTAAACTCATGCCGGGCACGTGTGCGTGTGTGCCCAAGATCCCGAGACAATGGACAACAGATTATGGCATAGCCATCCACCCAGGGGGTGATTTCTCATTTTCTGTCTTTTTGTCTCTCTGTCTTTCTGGTGAGTGCGCGTGCCCTATATCAAGAACCTCTCCAAAAAAAAAAAAGAGAGAGATTTTTGCCTTAGGGTGTGGGTACTTCCTGGGGAAAGAGAGACAGTGAGAGGGAAAGTGAGAAATCACCCCCTGGGGGGATGGCCACGCTAGCTATGATCCCAGAGGCCTGGGGGAGGCGCCAGCTGTAGGGGGTCAGCTCTGCAGGGGATGGAGGCCCAAGTCGCAGAAGCAGCAGTGGAAGTGGCCAGGTACCCCAGGCCCTGGGCGGGCCCCATGGGTGGGAGGGGTGGTGAGAGGGCGAGGGTATGGAGGAAGGACAGCTTAGGGAGGGCAGGGACAGGAGAGGCTGCAGGGACAGAGGAAGCATGGCAGGGAGAAGGGCTGCGCCCTGAGCTGCTCTGGCACGCCGTGGGGGGCGCCCCAGGTGCTCAGTGGCCAGCGGGCCAGGGGAATGCAGTGTGTGGAGACGGGCTGTGTGCACATGCGAGGGCCCGCCCGCCGGCAGTGTGGGTGGAGGGCCGCCGGTGGCTGTCCCTGCCGCACAAGGCCTACCTGGGTTGGTGAGCTTCTCCTCCAGCTCGGCCTGCGTGGTCACGCTCTCGGACTTCGGGGAGTGGATGATGAGCACGACAGAGCCCGCACAGCTCAGCAGGCAGCCCAGCTTGCCCAGGATGTTCAGCTTCTCCTTTAGGAGGTAAGAGGCTAGGATGGACCTGGATTAGAGTAGAGACGCTTAGATCAGACTAGGGGCCGGCGGGCGGCCTGGTGGGGGAGGCGCTGGGCTCCCACGTGGCCGCCCACTCGAGTCCTGAACCTGGCAGCTTGCTTTCTCGCTTTCCCTCCCTGTCTCTCTGGTGAGCACACGTGCCTTATAGCAAGGTAAAAAATAATTATAAATGAAATTAAATAGTTTTTTTAAAAAAGTTTAAAGGAAACTCTGGCTCGCTTCTACTAACTGCAGAGACTATCTAGAAGTCATGTTTCTTTGCATCCATATTTTAGTTTTCATTCAGTTGGGGTTTTTTGTTTGTTGTGTTTTGATTAATTAATTTTTCCACAAGAGACAGAGAGTCTGGCCCCTCCAGCAGGCTCCTCCAGCTCTGCTGGCAGGAACCACAGAGCCCAGCATGCTCCGAGGGTGCCCGGAGGCCGGGCCGGCGCATCCCCGCTTGGCCTTTCACTGAGATTCGAGAATGTAAAAGGTTAGGGACTTCCTCAGGTTATTTCAGCACCCAGGATTTTCAGATCGATTCCACACATTGCTGGTACATAGCAATAGTTTAACTTATTTTCTTAAGTTTTGTGTTAAATACCAAAGGGTAAATGTCCTTGCCAGAGAGACACCGAGAAAGCGCCCTCCATGGGGCGTGGTCACACGGGGGTGCCCAGTGTGCTTCTCAAGCCTCCGGGTCCGAGGCTGGAACCTTGTAGTTGGTCACGTGGGACCTAGCCACCTTAACCACCGTGTCGCCGGCTGGGCCTTACTTTTACACGTAAAACATGTTCTTCCGTCTAAACTAAACATTAAACACAAGATACAGAATCTTAGCTCTCACCCGAATGGCACTCCGAGGGCACCCAGGGGCGTCACCAGGACCGTGGGGACCGCCGTGTAAGCCAGGAAGTTTCCAATCTGACCAACAGCCACTGTCAAGAGAGTCATGAGGCCAGCCCTGAGGCCCAGCACTGGCCAGACGGGCTGCCAAGGCCCTGCTCTGAGAAGGTGGCCACATCTCGTGAGAGAGCAACCTGCAGGGTCACTCGCACGGCTCAGGGACCAGGGGCCGAGGGTGCGACCCGCAGCCTCACGGCCCAGTCAGTCAGGTGTAGCTCAGCCCTCTGTCCCAGTGCGCAAGCTCACCGCCTGGGCTGGCATCGGGGCAACGCCGACTATTTCCACCCCATGACACACCTATTGGGTGTGTGTATTCTCCAAAGAGACAGAGACAGAAAGCAAGAGATCCTCTCCCACAGAGGGTGGCCACACCACAATCCCTTTTCTTCCATTCTCTCGGGATTTTGGGCATGCACGCACACACACCCAGTGTGTCTGGGACTTGAACCTCGGTCGACTACATGAGTCCAGTGATATAACCGCTATGCCATCTGCTGGTCCCAACACACCCTTGTTTTAAGACAAGTTGAAGAGAGCTTCTTGTGCACCTTCAAGGGGCCTGGGACTGAGCCGGTGCAGGCGGCTGGCTACGGTGACACGCAGCTGGCATGCCAAGAGAAAGGCGCTGCCCTCGCAGGGCCACGGCAGGGCCGTGACTCGTCTCACAGCGTGTGACAGTTCTAGTGCAGCTGGCCGTCACTCTTCACATCTGACTGACTCTTTCATCCTCTGCTCCTTACAGCACATGACCACCGGGCGGGGCGTCAGGCTGAGCTGAGGGCCTGTGCTCAGTTAAGGCAGCTGCGCTGGGCAGAAGGGAGCAGCCGGACACACGGGTTTCATGGGACGCCACAGATGCATAAGCAGGCCCTGGACGGGTCGACCCAGACGACATTTGGGACTGACGGCAGGCAGGAGCCTCTGCCACCTCATCCCTGTCAGTCAGTCACTCCCTTCCACTGCCCTGCACCAGGGAAGGACAGCAGGAGGGACAGCGGAGGGTGACTCCGAGGACAGGTGTTCAGAGCAGGGGTGGTGACGATCCCTTCCCCAACCCTGCCCAGGGGGAGAAGGCCAGGGAGCAGGTGGCCCACAGGCTACTCACTTGCGACCGTGCCGGCCCACCACACGACGTCTGTTAGATAGGAGGTGCCTACAAAGGGACGAGACGAGATGTCAGGAACACGGGCCTCCAGGCCGCAACACAGGGGACGAGACGGTCACAGGCTTGGGATTTAAAAGAGGAATTTTTTTAAAAGAATTATTTTATTTGACTTTATTTATTTTACTTTGACCAGAGAGGGACAGAGAGAGTGAGAAAGCAAGCAGCCAGGTCCGGGACTCGAACTACAGTTGGCCATGTGGGAGTCCAGTGTCCTTAACCACCATGCCACCTGCCGGCCCCTAAAAGAGGAATTTTTACATGAAAGCTGAAACTGAAAAGGATACTGAAGGCCTTACTGTTTCTTCACCCGATAAAGGATCTCTAGTCTTTCAATAGTAGCATGAACAACCATGAAAAGTGGCAAAACAAGGTATGTTTGCAACTGACACTGGCTGACTCATATACAAAAGTGAACTGTTTTTAAAGAATTATTTTATTTAACTTTATTTATTTTAATTTGACCAGGAGTGGGGCAGGGGGGAGAAAAAGACAGAAAGTGAGAAAGCAAGCTGCCAGGTCTGGGACTAGAACCACAATCAGCTGTGTGGGAGTCCAGCACCCTTAGCTGCCATACCACCTGCCGGCCCCCAAATCTTTTTTTTTCAATTAAATAATTTTTTTGGGGGGGGCCAACACTTGGTGTAGTGGCTATGATGCTGGACTCCCATGAAGTCAACCACTGTTTGAGTCCTGGACCCGGTGGCTTAAACTCACGCCAGGCCCGTGTGCGTGCGTACCTAAGATCCCTGGAGGAGAATGGAGGAGAAGGGATTGCGGCCTGGCCATTCCCCGGGGCGTGTTGCTGTAGAGTGTGTGCACTGGCCAGAGACAGACAGATAGGGAGAAAGAGAAAGGAAGAAATCACCCCCGGGGGATGGCCATGCCACCATCCCTTCTCTACTGTCCCTTCAGGATTTTGGACACGAATGCATGCATGTACCTGAGCGTGATTCTCGAGCCGCTGGGTCCGGGTCTCACATGCACAGAGGTCACGTGAGAGCCAACCACCCTCATCTGTGTGCCACTGGCCCTCAATTTTCATAATTTAGAGTCTGTCCAGTGCAGCCTTTGTCTGCAGCAGTTCGAGCACCACATCCTCAAGTCGGCAGCGGCCTCAGTCTTCCGTGGTGCGTCCCTGTCGGGGTGGAAGAGGCCTCCCCATCCTATCACTCCTCCTCCTGCCTCTGGGGCCGATGCCTACAGTCAGTCTGCCAACCGCTGAGACATACACTTGTCCCTCTTAATTTTTTTTAAAAGGAAAAGGTAGTTATTAAGTAAAAGTGAACGTACACCCCTGAGAGGTAGGAGCGGGCCTGCGTGGACAGCAAGAGTGTCTCAGAGGCCCCGTTTCTGACCCTGTGAGTTGCCAGAGGGGCATATGCACTCACTCGGGAGGCAGAGAGGGAGAAGGAGAAAGCGCCTCCCAGTGGGCGCGGTCCGCCACAAGCCCTTCCCTCCCATCCTGGAAACTGTTGGGCTTTGGCCATGCCGTGCACACGCTCAGCGTGCTTTATCACGCCCCTAGGGCTGGAGTGTGCACGGTGGCCGGCCATGTGGGCTCCAGTCCCTTAACCAGTAAGCTGTGGGGACAGCGCTGTGCTTGTCTGGATAGCTCAGAGATGCCTAGTCTGAGAGCGTGCTCCTCGCTTTTGTTTTTGTTATTTTTTATTGCAGATTAAAGTACCTAATTCTAATTGGATTTTAAAGTAATTATTAACTTTATTAATTAATTAATTAATTTTTGGAGAGGTGTTTGCTATAGGGCACGTGCACTCTCCAGACAGAGACAGAAAGCGAGAAATCACCCCCCGGGGGGATGGCCACACCGCAGTCCCTTCTCCTCCACTCTCAGGATCCTGGGCGCGCATGCACACGTGCCTGGTGTGAGTTTAAGCCACCGGGTCTGGGACTTGACTACATCGGAGTCCAGCCACATAGCCATTACACCAATTGCTGGTCCCTGATGACCCAATTTTGTTGGCAACATCCAAAGCAGCATAATCAGGAGCCGTCGGCCATGTGCCTTCTCCCCATCAGGCCTGATTAGGGTGTTGACCGTGGCCACGCCAATAGCATGAAGCTTTCTCACAGCCCGGGAGCTGGTGCGTGTTGGCTTGACACCCTCAGTGGGCACCAGTGTGGTGTTGGCAGGCTCGGTGGTCTGGGGAACTTGGCGATGGCACAGTGGTCAAGCCTCTTTCTTCAGGGGCGCCCCTCCGAGGATGTTGGGGTTGCCTCCGCAGCTGCACTGTCGGGCCTCTGGAAGGCGGGTGATGCACAGATCTCCTCTTTTGTGTGGCTGTGGATGCCTCTCAGCACGGCCTTCTTGGCCTTCAAAGCCCTTGCGTTAGCTTCAGCTTTGGGAGGGGCCGGAGCGTCCTTCTTTGCTCTCGGCACCATCTTGGTGAGAAGAAGAGCTGCAGGCTTCCTGTTAACCACAGAGCAAGTCACCCGACACTAGAGAAGCCTGGCAAGCGTCAGTCCG